GCATTCCTGATTTCATTAACCTTCTAGCTACAGAGTGTTTTATCTAGGAGATGTCAATTGATTTTACCATATAGTACTGTGTTACTATAACAAATTTTCCTTCATGGTGTATAATGAAGTATTTTCATTTTTCTCGTAATGCAATAATTTCTTTGTCGCATAAATGCGTGCATGACAGTCAAAGACTTAGGACTCCTCGAGGATGAGCATGAGTCACACTTGTTCAGGAAATTGACGAAGATATCAACTTATTTCTGGATATTTTAATACACGATTCGTTTCTTTATTATATTTGTTCCTATATTAAATGAAGTATTTTCATTTTTCTCGTAATGTAATAATTTCTTTGTCGCATAAATGCGTCCATGATAGTCAAAGACTTAGGACTCCTCGAGGATGAGCATGAGTCACATTTGTTCAGGAAATTGACAAGGATGTCAACTTATTTCTGGAGATTTTAATACACAATTCGTTTCTTTATCCCATTATCTCGTCATTCGTTTCAGAAACCATCGGAAACGTAATTCAACGTAGACTGTGATATATTATGGTTTCGAAATAGCTCTTTCTCCCGTAGAAAATTCAATTTCCCTGCATCTTTTTCCAAGTTTAAACCGACGATTTAACGTTTAAGATAAATTTCGAGGAAACATCCACTGTTCTTAACGATCTTTGCTCTTTTTCCTGGCCCGTTAGGCGACTCTCCGGCTGCGTTTCGTCACATAGTCGCGGCTAATTCATATTTGCGAACCGTGGATTGCGCTAACTAGGAACACTGAATTTCCTCCGCCTCTGACGCACTCTCTTCGGGGTATTACCGCAACAAGCGTTTGCCTCCGTTTTATTACAGAAAGAATCCTTGCGATGGCGAAATTTTCGTGACGCAGTGGTCATTAACCATCTAATTGCGATCCAGCAGCGATATGGGAAATATGAAAAATAGAAAGAAATCGAAAGTCCCGTTCGATCTATCGATCTTCGTAACAGGATTTTCGCGCAGACAAAACAATGAACGGAAGATTAATTTAATATAGACCTTTTTCTCTCGTTTATGAAAGACTGCAATAATAATTGAGCCTGTTCCGTGAAACGATCGTCGATCTGCTCTCTATCGAGTCATTTATGGATTTTCGTTTTATAGTTGTTTCCTCATCGTCGAATGTGGTTCGTTCTTTATTCCGCAATGGTCGTGTAATTCCGCTTCACTGATAATTTGCAGAAAATAAGGCAAGACTGACCGATTCAGGGAAATATACGTGCCTATGATTATAAAAGTGGTCTAAGTCACTTATATTTGCTTCTGAAATATTAACCCTTTGCTCTCGAGAGGCGCTCTTCAGTCGCCATTTGATCAAATTTCGAAGCACGATATTCATAAATATGTCAAATTTCATCAAGGTATCGAAATCAAATAATACTACGTGTTAATTATCATACGATTTATTATTCCTGCTCAGGAAAGTATCGTCAACCTTGTAACAGAAAATCTTTCAACTCCTATTCTTCTTTAACCAAAAAATTGTTGAGTGCAAAGGGTTAAAAGCTTCGGCCTTTAAATATGTCATAAATTATAAAATTAATTACGATAAAGCTACAAACTCAATCTAACGATTCAATTCTTCACTGTTTTGTGGAAAATAAATATATTTTATCGTAATAGAAACGAATGCAACACGAAATAAACAATAAAATCGTTTCTCTTAAGTCGATGACTTAGACCACTTTCATAATTATGTGATCTCTCGATCTTCGGTGTTAATCTTAATTAATTTAAATCGTACGAGTAGCTTCGAGATAACGGACAGTTGGAGATCCAAATTGAACACAATTTTTCTTCTGATGTCGAAAGACACGTCACTCCTTGATCGATCTAACGCGAATCTAACCGAGTCTAACGTCGTCGGGCTGTAACCGAGATAAGACTATCACCGACGGGTCTTCTGGAACAGAATAATCTCGATTATGGTATGCAGATCTAGGCAGGTGACAGGATGCTGGGAATAAGGCGTGATTTTTGCACGAAGCGAACGTGCCGGAGCACGAGAGTCGAGAAAAGCGTAGTAGAGCAGTCTCAGCCGGTCTCGGACGCTTTCTCGCGTGTAACCCAATTAAAAAACTATAGCACGGAGTGATGTCATTGAGAATGCGAGATAACGGGATCACGTGTCGTGGGAGGGGCGATTATCGTTCAGGATCGGAGTTCCATGGATTCCGAATGGCCTCCTGCTCGCGAGATAAAAGCGATCCTTGTACGCCTGCGAGCTCGTGGTAGTTGCTGGCATTAAAAAGATGAGCGCAAGAAAGGTCAAGAAGTTGGATGACTAAGGGGACCCGTGTGCATGCTGAGGATCGTGAAAGACCAAACCGTTGCGTGCCTTTGGGATTTCGCGTTAAAAGTCACCCGATTGCATTTTTCGCTTTCATTACACGATCGTGTCCCATCGTTAGCCTTTTATCGACGACTGCCACCTCCTTTTCACTCGAAAATTACAATTTATCCCGTATCTTTTCGTTCCTTCCACGTTTGCTTTTATTTCATCTTCGTTTCTCTCATTTTCCTTATCTTTAATTCTTATTTTCATCCTTTTTATATCTGTTCTCGTGTTCTTTCGTCTCGTCTAGTTTATTATTTAATTCTCTATCTAGATTATGTATTAATATTTTCAAAGATAACAGGAAATTTCGAGTAACGATTATATTAATTTTCCTGTGAAATATTATCGAATTTTTGTTTTACCAATACAGAATTTCTTTGGTTGCTGATATATTGTTATTAGTATTAAAATTATTCGTCATATTTGAGCGAATTTTTCTCAAAGCTATACCGAAATTTGCATTGCCTCTCTTATCCTATTCTATTCTTTGCCTCTTCGTGTTTCATTCTCGACCCCAGTAAGGAGAAACCAGTAGCCACGTTAAATCAAATTACAAGCTGATCAGCTTCTGTTTGATGCACTCGTGACGGTGAGAATTTATCCGTGGAAGGATGTTATGTAATTTCTACGTGCATATTCAACGAGATAAACAATGCAGTGTAACGAACGTATTAAAATAATTGCAAAATCTATCTATAATTTCCTTTTATTCGTTAAATACGTCAAAAAATAAAAAAGGGGAATAATAAATTCCTGTCTTCGTCGCTCTCTCCAAAATAGAGATGAAAATATTTCCCTACTATACTATATTCCTACTATTACTATTCCTATGTCAAAAAATAAAAAGGGGAATAATAAATTCCTCTCTTCGTCGCTCTCTCGAAAATAGGGATCAAAATATTTCTCTACTATACTATATTCCTACTATTACTATTCCTACGTCAAAAAATAAAAAGGGGAATAATAAATTCCTCTCTTCGTCGCTCTCTCGAAAATGGGGATAAAAATATTTCCCTACTATACTATATTCCTACTATTACTATTCCTACGTCAAAAAATAAAAAGGGGAATAATAAATTCCTCTCTTCGTCGCTCTCTCGAAAATAGGGATAAAAATATTTCCCTACTATACTATATTTTTACTATTACTATTCCTATGTCAAAAAATAAAAAGGGGAATAATAAATTCCTCTCTTCGTCGCTCTCTCGAAAATAGGGATAAAACTATTTCCCTACTATACTATATTCCTACTATTACTATTCCTATTATACTATACTATAAGAATATTTTCCTCGCAATTCTCGCTAAAAAGTGATCAAACAAAGTGGAAGAACGTTGCAGAAACGAAAGACAGGGGTGCACAGATCGGGGTGGTGAAAATTTTCGAGCAAACGTGGAATTTCAACCGGGCGTGCGAATTTCTGCGAAATGTTTCGACAGCAAATATTTCAATTTTCGTCTTATCTGATCCATGGTAACAATCCTCGCGTTACTTCCGATCAATTGAATCTCTCCGTTCATTTGTACAATCGTAACAGGATTCATTGTGCTCCGAATAGAGTCGTGAGAATATATTTGCGTGTTGCCGTCTCGTGCAATTTATGAACCGCGCAGATTTCACTCGGGTCCGATACACGTACATGCGAAAACGGAACTGCGGATTTAACGTGCAACGGATTGTTAAACGAATTTGCACGAATTTAACGTTTCCCCTTGGAACCACTTATCTCAAACTCGAAGTTTACTCTGCGCGAATCGAATATTTCGAGGATCGTGTAACGTGGAAAAAGGCTCGATTATTTCGCCAGTCTATTTACGAGGTAAATGCCAAACCAGGTAAATCACACCCACGCAACACCCACGGTGTCGAAACAATGGTTTCTCGATCGATTAATCCCGGTGAAACTCATCGTTTCCGGATTCGGTTTAAAAGTGCCATTAATTGGCAATTAGAGGGGAATCCATTTTTCCCATTCGACGATTTTCCATTGAAGATATCGACGATAATTTTATTAGAATAAAAAGTGGAATATTCATCGCCAGCTTCCTATCCGAGCATTACCTTGAAGACGCACAGTATAGACGAAGTATTATTTACCATGTAAATTAAGATTGCAAAATATAGTCACAGGTATTTAATCGTTATCGGTTAAGGTTACTGTGTAATTGTATAATGACAGCGATCACGGTGTAAGTATCAAAAGTAAAAACAAGGAAATCGAACGAGCCTCGATCGCGATATCTGTCAAGGATTTATTAAAGACGCGCTAAGACGTGGTGCCATTTTTCCTCCGTGTTTGGATATTTTCAACCGACTTCGTGATTCTCCATAGCAAGTAGCTGTCAATCTTGCCTACATTCGCCATAACGCTTTCCTTTAACCATCGCTAAAAAGACGAATAAAGCATAGCTACCACTGCACGAGCCTACGTAATATATCAACACGCCGTTCTAATATACTCATCACCGCTGGTCGACTCGTTTCCTGTATTCGATCACTATCACAGATATGTTCTAGCGTGACGTAACAACTCGTACGAACCGATTAAACATCTAGATAAAATCTCCAGTCGATCTCCTTAATTCGAGCAAAAACCCAGCCCAACTAGGTCCCAAGCTTCCCGTTGGATCGCAGTTAAAAATCGATTAAGTCAGATGTACATACCGTGGAAATTAAACTGGATCCAACGAGTACCTATTAACAGGTTCGATCGATCAATAAAATCATCAGAAAACCGAGCAAATGCCAGGAACTAACTACGAAACAGCCTGAACCGTGTCAAACCTTAAATAGATACATCGGTGCAGTTTAAAATTATGCGTCTTGCATCAAACAGATATATCAGAGGAATTCCATACCGATTTAACGAGTGCGAATTAAACAGAAACTTTAGCCATTAACCAAACATCAAAAATGAACTATGAACGTAACCTCTCAAACCACGTCAAACCTTCGTCAAACAGGCACCTCGCGATACTTCTATCTCGGAGAAAAATCAGGTAGCTCCTCGAATCGAGCGGACATACCGTGTAAATCAAATACCGATCCAATACTCGCACCACGGTTAAATGGAACTTCGTCTCGATCATTAAACGAACACAATCTTCGTCAAACAGACACCTCGCGGTATTCGCGTTTGATCCGAGTTCAAGGTATCAAAGTGACACATAGAGTGGAACAATCGCGTGATTGAAATACGAATCGAACGTCTCACACCGCAAATTCGGTCACAGTGATCGAACGGATCGAACTTTGGGACTACCGAGCAAACACCATGGATCAAGAACGGATCACCCGAAACCACGCGAAACCTTGGCGAAGCACCTCGCAGCAGCTCCTAAGATCGTTAGCTAACACTCGAATCCGTGGTCGGAAATCGTTCGAGACGATTCCTACGTGTTCCCAATGGACCAGCCAATGGACAGCTCTTACCTGTCGCCCAAGGAACGGACCTACGCTCGCATACAGGCGAAGCGAGCGGGCACGCGAAGCCGAGCGGAGCGGAGCAGAGGGATCGGCCTCGAAGTCGCACGTTTGGCGCGGATCGCGGTCGAAATTCGATTCTTGATCGCGTGGCGACACTTACACAGAGCGGGCAGCGTGGTCGGCATTTTGTCGCACGTTGCATGAGTGTCCCGGCGAAGGTATTCGACGTCGAACGTCCGGCCAGCGTGTAGCAGCCGATGCACTGCGACTACACCGATCTCCTCCCGAGTCTTCTTCCAAGCTTCTGGACGAAAGGGAAGGGATCCGCGCCTCTTACCTTTCTTCTTCTCGCTTTCCACCTCTCACCCGCAAGAGAACACGCATCGGTCATCCCTCCGCGAGAGGAATTTCTGCCGCGCCTCTGACAATCAGGAAATTTCGGTGAGCGATACCCGGTGTGGCTCATGCCAGTAATTTCGTTCGTTTCTGCAGATTTCTCGAGGCTACTTCCGCTGAGAGGTATGCGCACGGCGGAAGAGTGGGTTTGGCAGAGTTTAGGTCGTTTGAAGGGATTGAGAGTTGTTTCGAGCGTTGGGTAACTTGGACTTTGGATATATTACAGCAAGAATTGTTCTGGGACCTAGGGTCTATGGATCTAGGGTCTATGATAATGTGTAATCGATCGTGCGTCGAAGTTAGGTATCATTCCTTTGTGTTATTTGTTAGGGTATCAGAGACCGGTAGTCCTACGTCGGTTTGTAAACCTTCTAGCTGAATTTCCATTGATGGAATGCTATTTCAAAATCCATAAGTGAGTATCGATAACGTAGCTTCGTCGTATATCCTTTCACGTTGGCAAGGATTTATACGCCTTGATGGTATTTCATTTCTGTCAATTGTAAACGACACGTGATAAACGTCGTATCGAAGGTTAGTATCTTTTATATTCGCATACCATTCAGATCTAGACTTTCAGGAATTATATGCTGTCGCGAATGTGTTTCTTGCGTGGGTATTAGAAACCCTTTGTGAGCGATACGATCTAAATGTCCATATCACGAGCTGCAATTAAATATAAAACACGCATAGCATCACGCTTGAGAGCACTGGTAGAGCACAGGTAGCTCGCTTCTTTGCAACACCCACTCCCATTAACGATAACACGATTAACAGCGTTATAGTAGCAGTAAAATGACGTCTAATAGCTGTTAACGACATACACGCATAGGTAGGTTTCATTCGAGTTAGAATTGAGATGACACGGACTTGGTCCAGGTAGCGATTAATACTCTCAGTTGCTCGAGATTCGACGTTGATCTGCCTTGAAATAAATCTAGGTGAGTGGGTGTTCTGTAAGTGGGACAGATTGATACTCGACGTCTAACCTAACCGAACCACTGCAAACCATAATCGTATCTGAATCGAACTTGCCAATCTCGACTGTTGTACTCATAGCGATTACGCTTTTGATCTAACCCTAACTTCGAAATGCACTCGAACTCGGCCAACATCGAAATAACGATTCTGCGAATCTGGCAAATCTCAGAGACCACGATCCCTTCGTCTGCTCTCCGCTTCGAGCTCCTAAACGCGAACGAAACTCACCACGATGGTTCCACTCTCTGTCATGTCATAAGCGTCCGATCACCCTTCGTTCTCCCCTTTCTCCAATTGCTATCATCGGAATACACGGAATGTCTGTTCCACTCACCTAGAAAACGTCTGCCAGTCACGACGACGAATCGTCCGAGTGGAAAGTGTCGCTCGCGACGTTTACAGAGGCAAGATCCCACCATTTGCCGCGTCGCATCTGCCATTCGTTTGCAGCCATCGGATTCCATCGGCGAGTCCCAGGTGCTCGCAATTAAAATGGAAAGTAGAGCGGGCCCGATAAAGTTAGCCGCTCGAGGAACACCTCGAGGTAGCCGAGCGTTGCGTGGATCGATCTCCTTTCGATAGCTCCGCAGTCGCGGCGCGCCGCGGCGCTTCCAAGAGGAAAGATCTACGCGCCGAAACGGGCGTAACACGGCACGAAGCCACGTCCCACGATCTTTGCGACCGATCTGACATTTATTGCGGCTCACTCTACCGTGCTTTTGTTGCATCGCGACCAAAGGTTTCGACGAATCGGCCAAGTCAGGGTAGAGTTAGGATTCGCGTGATAATTCTCGAATATATGGAGATTCGTTGTTTGGAGGCAGTCAGGTTAGAGGCTAGGTTGAGCAGGAAACTGGTAAGTTGGGTAATGGGATAGCTAGGACTATGTAGTCTTCACTTGGAGACCTAGGTCAGGATGATTACCCGTTCACTGTCATGACAGCCAATGCTGTTTAACACTAGGTTTACGGACGCTATCTGTATACCTATTTCTAAGGACACCTGTCAAATTGACAGGTAAAAGAAACCACGTGCCTTTTTGTTTAACGATTAGTTTAATTTAAAAACAGTTATATATTATATTAACAGTCTTAATATAAGTTAACTAAATCTGTTACAATCGTATAATTGGAGCAACACTTCTGTCAAATTGGGTTCCGTAAATCTAGCGTTAAGCCTCCTTGACCGAAAATAGCTAATAAATTTGTACCAAGTATCATATCCTTCGAGATACTCTGTTTTGTGGCATAATTCAGTGCTATTTATGCTATTTATTGCAAATATTATCGATTCATACTTAATATGGCCGAAAGATCTATGACACAGGCTGAACACGTTGAATGTACGCGATGGCAAATTAAGTCTGTACCAGTCTTGGTGATCTAGGAGTATATAGGATTGGGAAACAGTCAGATAGGAACTGGGGATCCGGGAAATTGGATAAACCGTAAGAAGGAAGCAGTCAGAGAAGAATTTCGATCAGAGGATTTAGGTACTTCGCCAAGAGCGAGGATCGAAAGAAGCTGGTAATCTCGGCGGAGAATTCAAACTTGGGTCGTACGAGCAGCTCGTGGAGTACCGGATAAAAAGTTCAAAGGGCAAAGAACCCGAGAATTATTTCTCCTCCCACTGCGAACATGACAAACAAGACAATAATACTAAGAATAACTCCATCAAGCGTGTCTGCGTTCGAGCGAACAACATCCTACATTCTTTTTGTTCTCCATTGCCATTTCCATCCTCCGCAGCCGTGGCAGGAGCAAAGGTCTCTCGGATATACCGGTATGAGCGACCCAAATGTACGCTGCATCGATATCTCGACGCGTGTAATTGAAGAAAGAGGACACATTATGTAAGTTCGATGACATTGCCTCCGTTCTGCACGCGCGCCGCGCCTCCATCCTTCTCTCTTCCTCCGCTTTCTTCCTCTCTTCTTGCTCTCTTTGCGCCTCTCCACCCTTTTCCACGTCGTCTTCATTCTCCTTTTGCTGCACCTCTTTCTCCGCCATTTTCTCCACCTTTTTCTTCCATTTCTATCTTCCCCGCGATTTTCCAGCTATTTTCGCTTCCGTGCTTCAAGTTCTTAACAGGATGAAAACCATGTCCTCGTTTTCTTCCTTTTCACACCCTCTGCGGATTTCATCCCTTCTTTCATTTTCTCGTCAGCCATTTTCTCAAGAAACTTTACCTGTCGAGTTTCGCTCCGCTTTTATTTGCAATTTTATTCTTTTAATATTACTTATTACTTATTACTTATTACTATTTAATATTAATTTAATATTTTTGTTTATTTTTTGATATTTCACATTGTACTTCGTTAAATTAATATTTTAGGTTCTCGAAGTGAGGTTAGGTTGAACTTCCTTTCCTTAATTCTCTTCTTAATTCTTTGCGAGGTTAGGTTGGACTTCCTATGATCTTCCCCCTCCCTCGAAACTCAGCTGCTTAAATTATCCATAGATCAAAGAGGTTAACTTCGCTGCTTTAACCATTTAAAAATTGCATTTCGAGAGTATTGGATAAAATTTTCGATATTTGAAATTAATTTTCAATTTTCGTTTCGCGAGGTTGATCGATTTGATCGATTCGACGTCAAACGGACTTTAGATCCTATCGAGATGCTCTTCGACGACCACAGCCTTTCCAGACAAAGTCCAGATAGAACCTGAACCTAATTCTCGAGCTCGGAGCTGCCGAATCGCGTTTTCTAATTTGCCATTCTTCGCGACGTGACTTTTCAGCGCATCTCGCTCTTCGTTTCTCCTGTCCCGCTTCGAAAAGCTACTTTCCTCTTACATAATCCCGTTTTCTGCCTTTCCTCGTCCCTTTCGATCCTCTTCTCTGCCCCACCGTTGTCCATCGGCCAAGTTTCATCGCGAGACTCCTTTCCGAGCACGAACACCGACCGATCTCGAACTCCTCCTGGGGATCGATTGCGATTCCACGTCCACTGACCAACGGCACGGTCATCGATCAGCATCTCAATTAGGTGCATCCGTGTTCCATACGATTGCATCACCGACGTGGATGCCATTTCTTACGGATTTGGAATTAACATTTAGAAATAAGTTTACCAGAGTTTAGCGGTAATATTCTTGAATGAACTTTGCCGGCAATCTTGCTCCAAAGATTATGACACTATCGGGTTATTTAATAGCGATCCAGCTACATTCGTGCCCCTCGTGTTGCGTCATAGACATGGGCGTTGATTCTTCGAAATTTCGAATTAAATATCGGGAATAAAATCAGTTTTGAAAGACGAAGCTTCGAATTTTAATTCAATTCAATCTCACATCGATATCTATTGTGCAATTGAGATTGGTAGAAATTTGGTTAGGTTAGGTTAGGTTAGGTTAAGTGAGGTTATGTTTGCTTAATAGAGATTCGGGAATAAATGTTCCAGAGATTAATATTATCGGAGATTAAATATTAATCTCGATAAATTTTCCAAAAATTAGATTCGCAGGAAATCTTACGATTAGGTCTAAAATCAGGGTACTTATTTATCATAGTATTCGCTATTTTCGAGAATAATATTTTCCGTGACGTACGGTTGATCCAGAGCCCCCTAGATTTACAAATTTCGCCTTAAAAATCGTCCACCAAAAATCTTCGCTGTTCCGTTAATTAAAATTCGTCGATCAAGACGATGAAATGGAAAAACAAAATGGCACGAAGGGATTAGAAAATGGAGAAAGAAGCGGAGACAGTGAGTCACGAAAGCACGTGTACGAGTGGAAAAAAGGCTCAAGGATTCTCGTCACACGCAGATCGTTTGTCAATCTGGAAAGAAGCACAGAAGCGAAGGATAATATTTATTATTCTTCGAGAAAAGCAAAAGGGACGATGCCAATAAATCTGACGGAAATTCCTGCGAAAATAGAAAATGTATAAATAGAATCTAACAGATCCTCGATCGAGCACCGATCAGACGGAATGAATTAACAATCCTCGATTGTTAATAATGGGACAACATCTCCAGTACATTAACGATCATCGATCCACGTTTTCCTTATTTTAAAAAGACTAAACCTCGTAAGAAGTGAAATAGAATTTTATAAATATATAAAATTCCAACTCCTATTGAGTTGTTATAGCCATTACAAATCCAATAGAATTTGATTGAAAAATTCAATTATAGTGACATTTTCGACTAATATCGTGGTGAGCTAATGTTTTGCATAAATAAGAGAGAAAAATCCTATTACGAACTGAAGCTCGTAAGACGATTTTCGATGTACTCTTCTTATTTAAATTAATTAATGGCGTCATTAACTATTCCGCACTACTTTCCTCTATCGGCATTTATTCGCCTGCTAGATCACAGAGATCATTGCGATCATTCCTGCCTTTCAAATATACTTCCAGATACGCTAATACCGACTCTGTAAATCGAATTTGCGAACTTGCAGAAAGGACCAGTTTCGAGCTAGATTTCTTCACTGGATCGGTCAATTTCTTTTCATAAACTATTATCTAAATATGTCTAATTTATACTAATTTATACTGTCACTTCTTCGTTCGTATTTGATATGTAACGCTTTCTATATATAATGACCTCCGCATAGAACTAGTTAAATCTACAAACAGGACCAACGTGACTTTTGCGGAACCAGAATACGCGTTTAAATCCAATATGGTATCGGTAAATGGTACGGTACCATCATTCTCTAAAAAGTTAATCAAAATCGGTGTTTTCTAATTGCCTGATTTCCTTAACACCTAATATCTTCCGCACCAGTGTCACAGTCGTATGAGCCTTTGATGTCAACGTTTAACGTCAACGTTTAGAACACGCTGCAACGAAATATTTCAATGCAAAGATGGCAGAGAAAATCTTGCACTCGTGTCGGTGTACAGCAAGCTGTACCATATCCAATTAATCCGTAATCGATTAATGGATTATGCGATTGTATTTTCTACGCACACCCGAATATTCAATCTACTATACAGGGGGTCTTGCAAGATGTCTGACGAGTTTTCGTAGACCACGGGGCCTTTCGAAACGCGGGGCCGGGTTCCGGTGAACGCGCTGAACCTGCCTCGCGCCGGCCCTGTATTGTATATTATTATTATTATTATTTTATTCATAAACGGACCGTAGTCCATTAACGTAACATTTCGCATATAAAGGAAAAGCAAAGAAGTTATACATAATATAACACCGAAGGGAAGTGCTTATAAACGCTTTGTTCAGGAGGAATAGCTTTAATCAATAATTATCCGTAATTGCCTTTATTATATTAATCAGCTATTTTAAATCCCCAAGTATCGGTGAAGATCTGTTTTTATCTTCCTCGTCGTTCATTCAAAAAATTCCAATTCGGAAGCATTTTTGTGTTAAAGATGCAATGTCTTTTTGAGTTTACCTGCCCTGGCCACAAATGTACGTTAATGGGGCTACCCGTTAATTATATATAAATAAATAAATAAATTTTTATTAGTCGGTTACCGATTTTTTGAAACATCTCTCGTATCCCTGTTTATCGGAGATCCTCGCGTTTCGAATCCTCTGTGCTCTATGAGAATATGAAGCTCATAACTAGTTATGGCTGCTTGAAATTCACACGACGCACCGGCACACGATACGACTCCTAAAACGTCCGATTTACTCGACTTTCCATTCTTTTCGTTTTATTCCACATCGGGTTAATGCTGAAATAATGGTACTTTCTATTTCACGGTACAAATGGCTCCTCGGCAACGATCCACCGTTTGTCAATTTTTTTTTTTCTCTCATCCACGAAACAAGAAGGCCGTAAAAATGATTAGGTAACGGAATGATGAACTTTCACGAGAATTCCAAACGCTTCTATGTCTCGGAATTACGTCAAATTCGTCTGCCGAGGAATCGGCTATCTCTTCGCTCGAAAGAGAGTTCCCGCGTAATAATTTATCCGATCAATTACCAAAGTTCGAACGAGCATAGGCGACTTTTTCACGCGGCATTCGGAAGCTTGCGATCGATGAATCGGTGAAGGAAGATTCGGAAGCTTCGAAGGATCCACCGATCTCCAGTAGGATTCACTGCGGAGTCCTCTTCGTTCCGACGAATCGAGTCAAACGAAGCCGAAGTCGCGGATCGAGATGGCGTAAAATTAATCTAGATTCGTCTAGGTAGCGTGTTTCATCCACGAGAGATCGCTCTATCGCGGTGAGTAAAGGGAACTCGGAACGATCCTCTCTAATGTGGCATAAAATGGCCACACGATTTGTCTTGACGAACAACCGACACTGTATCGCGTTCCCTGCAGTCGAAACGAATTTCAGCGCAGCGGGATGTCCCTTTGAGTCATCCAATTAGCGACTCGCGGGTTTAGATGGTCGAGTTCTCGGCTATGAGAAGATCGGACACGGTGATCGGTTAACGGCCAGAGAATCGTTCGACGACCGAACTTGTCGCGAGAAAAAGCGGAGAGAGAAGGAGGAAATCGTTGCTGGAACACGTGTTAACGGAGTTACGTAACCCTGCTCACCGCAAACGTCGTCAAAACCGATTCTCGGGCCGTAATTGAGAGGGTAAACGTGTTTTTAGCGGTTCAATTAACAGTCCCGGTAGTACACGACGTCCCTCGACACCGTTATCGAATACTGCATCCATTTTAGCTCGCTGGGGGCCAAAATGGACATAGAGACACTCTCGAGGTAGCTAAATAGTTTGAAGAACTTCGGGCGCTTAAATTTTTCTATACCGTGAAAGCCTAGGCTGCTCGAATGTCCAAAAGACTTCGAAATATGGGTCAAAATTTACTCAAGTATCTCAATAACTCCGAAATCTTGGTCAAAATTTGCTCAAATGTTCCAAAGCCCTTTAGATCTCGGTCGAAGTTTGCTCAAACGTCCCAAAAACTTCGCAATATCGGTCCAAGTTTGCTCAAATGTTCCAAAGACTTCGCAATATCGGTCCAAGTTTGCTCAAGCGTCCGAAATAATTCGAAATTTCTGTCAAAGTTTGCACAAACGTCCCAAAGACCCCGCAATATCGGTCGAAGTTTGCTCAAACGTCCGA